TCATTGCAGCAATCCGCTAATTCCTTCATATTATTTTACACTAATTTTTCAGCAGTAGAGATAATTTAGTAGCAGAAGAGCTCCTTGTGCAAGAGTTCGTCCAGGAAAGTTGCCACCTTACCTATTTCTGCCGCCAAGCGGCGATGTGAACATTATTACGTTCCTGTTGAGAAGGGTGCTGGTGAAATTACATGCACATGGGATTTGTCAACTTATATCTCAGGGTGACGTGCGTAGTGGCAGTGCTCCTGAGATCTTTGCAATTTAAAGCTCTGAGTGGCACTGCAACTGCTATAGACACAGGCGTGTCGCTTACCACCAAACGTACAACTTGTTCGCGTCGTCACTTGGTATTATAAAAGAAAACTTCTAAGGTTCTCCTGCTCCACGCTCTTTAACACATCTAGTAAACCACACACGAAAATCGCTTAAGCATTAAAACAGACGTTAATACCTTTCATCTGGAATTAAGTCAGATTTAACGTGAGACCTATAAAACTTTACCTCAAAGATCCAACGCTGTGCGTTCGTTTTGATTTGCAGGGATTCCGGAAAAGCTAAGATTCCAATTTAAATTTGTGTTAGTCGAGGGCTTTAAAACTTGATAACGGATTATGTTAATTCGACTTAAAACTTCGGTGTATGTTTTCTTTAGGTTTATTCTACGCTTGGATCATCCCATGCGCGTTCTACAGGACACGGTTTTGGCTTCTATTTTAAAACCCAGTGGCATATATCGCACTTGACAACTAACATGGTATTATAGGAAATGAAACTATTTTTCCGGATTTAAATCGCGTATATTTGTTTTTTCAAACAAACCGACGTTTCGTGTTTTAGTTTATTCTAATTTCTATTAATAATTAATAATAAATTGAACTTAATAAAAATTCATTCGATAAAATAATTTGTAAAACTTAATATAGCGTAAATTGGAATGTTTTCTTTGTAAAATTAAAAATAAGGTATTTAATTAATAACTGTTGTAACTATAGTGAAAAAATAGGGTGGTTTGCATCAATATTAGACATAACTGGTTGAAGACTGTACCACCTCAGTCAACCGTGACCATGGGACCTGTAAAGGGCCCGAAACGTCGGTTTGTTTGAAAAAACAAATATACGCGATTTAAATGCGGAAAAATAGTTTCATTTCCTATGTGTAACAATCGCGAAAACCTAAGAACTCGATATAACATGGTATTATCTCAAAAATTGCGTTATGTTATATTTTATCTCAAAATTGCGTATTAATAATTTATCTTCAAAATTTCACTTTATTTGTACGTCATTTGTGTACGATTTATGTTCAAACTGACAGGACAACAGTGTCGCTTTGAAATGAAACAAGTCATATTAATATAACATGAAGCAATTCTGAGATACTATTATGTTAGTTGCCATGTGCGATGTGTATACTTTCCTAGCGTAGTATAATATTGTGGGCACGTAATTTTCCGAGATAACATGCCATGTGTGCGGAAAAATGAGATCTTTGTTATTAGATCTAAAGAAAAGACGACTCTTCCGATCTTATCTGTAACACCTCTCACATAAGGCAAAATTGCAGGTCTTATCATAATTTCAACAGGGAAGATATTTTCTCCCTACCACTAGTGTGGGATCTAGTCATTGACTTACAATTATATGGATGTCGGGTCCGCGCTAAAAAGTGTCCGAACTTATAGGGCGTTAAAATCGTATACAGAGCGTCATACACGCTTTAGTCTTCGTTTGTTCGACTGACAGCGAAGCAAGCAAAATTAGACAGTACTGCGATGACATTACAATTTAAATTCAACGTTTTAGCTTTTTCATATTCCTTTACATGTCACTACGTTTAAATAGGTTGACTTGGGACATTTTTTTCGTGGTTTTTGTATTAGATCCGTCGCCCATTTATTTGTAAGTCAATGGATCTAGTATTTCCTTTGGTGAAAAATCTCAAGCAGACACGCGGGTCTTAACCCGCTGTACTAATTAATATGTTTTAATTTATTTCCATTATTAATCAATAATAAATTCAATACAAATTTATATTGTTAAATGAAAATAAAATAATTTCTAAAACGTTGTAGAATAAATGGGAATTTTCTTTGGGAAATTATTTTTTTTTAATTTTCCATATTAAAAAAGGTTTAATAACTTTTGTTGTTGTTGACGTCAAATTAAGAGAATAATATTATTTATGGATAATATTAATTGTGCTTGATATAAAAGTGAAAAAAAAAACCTCTTTCTTTTTATTTTCTATCTTTAACAGAAAAATAATTTATATAAATTCATGGTGTTAAAATATAATAAAATAATTTCTAAAAGGGATATCGCGTATGTTGGAATGTTTTTTTTTTAAATAGAGTGTATTGGTTTATTAACTTTTACGAAAAATGCCCGCCCGAAAATGCCCGAAATGTTAGTGTGTTTGAAAACAAACACGCGATTTAAATCAGAAAAAAAAAATAGTTTCATTTCCTTTGTGTAACAATCGCGAAACCTAAGAATAGTTTTTTATTTGTAAAAGCGAATATGAATCTCCCAATTTAGGAATTATACGCTTCTCTTGCTATATGGCCAATGTTCGTGTAATTAAACGAGTCGACAGATTTACTGCACTGAACTCACTTAATTTTAATTAACACAGACGGAAGTGATTTCCGTTTCTCGGCAGCAAATGTTTACAAATCTCTTACGCTTGGATTGGACAAGTTGTTTTTCAAATTACTATTCGGTATTCGGATTATAATGCTATGATGATAATGGTAACAGAACTTTTGACCTTCTTTTACTTGACGATTTATGCCTACACTCATGGACGTCTTTAAAGGATTGCTAAAAAGCCTTGTATTATGATAATAATGTTCACATGAACTTCTGACCACATGACGTCTAATCCTTAATAGAGTAGAGCTCCGTGTAAAAGAGTGCGTCCAGGCAGTGCTGCCATCTTACCTATTTCTGGTAATAGTGTTACGGTTTTGAAGGGTAAGGGTGCTGGTGAAATTACAGGCACATGGGACTTATCAAGTTATGTCTCACGGTGACGGGTGCAGTGGCAGTGCCCCTCAGATCTTTGCGATTTAAAGCTCTATTTGGCACTGCAACTGTTATGGACAGGCGTGTAGCTTAGCATCAGTTGCGCGACTTGTTTGTCCCGCCACTTGATATTACAATATATATTATTGGAGCTAGTTAACGCTTCAAACGTAATGTAACAGATTTCCGGTTATTGTTTATGTACAAAAGGATAAATCTGAGCTAATATTGTTACGTGTTATTTTCTAATTATTAAAGAAACGATTTACTATCTACAAATTATATTAACAAGACTCGATTATGATTTCTTTGTTTACAAATGTTACGTTTGACAACTCAATTTGTGTGAGGTCGCCTTATGGTCGCATTTCAATCTGTTCAATTTAGTCAGTCATCTGACATAGTCCTATGGCATAATAATAATAATTTACTGAGCAAGGCCTAATTACAAAATAGCTAACTAAAATTAAAAAGGTGCAAAAAGATCAAGCGGTAGATTAATTCTAAACTAAATAACCACTGACTTCCCTTATACTAGAAAAAATCTGTATTATGGGTGTCAGTCATGGTGGTCATTGGTAGGGTTGGCATGTGGCATTATGGAGATAAGGAGTGAAGTAATAGTGAACTGGGGCCTTACCGTGAACTCTTATTATAGTTCAGTATAGGTTCGTAACGACAAAAAAGCGGTATGGTGATATACGCTTCATGTAGCGCTGTCTCACAACGATTCATTTTAGGTCCTAAACTGAAACAGTTCATGGTAAGGCCCCTGATCTCTGTGAAGTTACCGCGTGGTGTTTAAAACTTGTTTTGACCTGATACATCTTTTGTACTTTTGAACTAATTTCATTATTGTGAAAACTGGATAAACGAATTCGTTGCAATCGACTGTTAAAATTGATAAGGAAGAGTGAATGGGCCAATTCTCGAACGTTTCCTATTTAATTCCTGACTAAATCAGTTATAAGGGTGTTTTCTTCTATGTCTTGTTTACGGTTATGCTGTCGTCGTTTGTTTTCGATTAAACGTTCTGGTATATGTGGCCAGTCGTTAATATGAACGTTGGTATCACAATTCAACCTTTTTTTATCATTCCTCAAAATATATCCATGGGTATATACTTCATAAATAGACGACTTCGATGGCCCAGCTGCTAGCTTGATGAGTAGGATTACTTTGAGAAACCATTGTACGATTATAAATTGCTTCTGGTCTGACTGTTCTGCATGGACTAGGGCTTTGGAGACTAGGTAATTGATGCCATTGTCTGGCACATTGGGTGTCTATAGATTTTCTTCTCTATTGCGATGCTATTATAAATATAGTTACTGAATTTGTTGTCTTGTTCAATTAGGTATAAGTAATTGAACGAGGCAAATGTCATATCAAGTCTCCTTGAAGTGCGTAAATACACAAGATATAGCTTAATATACTTTTATGGTCTACTGGATCAAAAACCAATCATCAATTTGTCTAGTATTGGTTGGAGGTACAATTAATGATCTATAGGTGTTGTATGTCCAGTTCTTAGATATTATTTTCTCTGATGAAAAATTCCTTCATTCATTGGGTGAAGTCAGGCTGTATATGATGATGATTATTCATTAATATGTTTTACTTCCAATTTCTTTTTAATTATTAAATTCGATTTAGTAAAAAATATATTGTTAAAATAAAATGTATTGCAAGTAGTATATAGCATGGAATGTTTTTTGGTAAATTAAAAATTAGGTATTTAAATTAATAAGTTTTTTAACTGTAGTTTAAAATAGGCTGGTTTGCATTAATATTAGATATATAATAACTGGTAAACGAAGATGGTAAAGTCATCACTTTACCATCTTCGTCGGCCGTGATCATGTAAAAAGCCCGAAACGTTGATTTGTTTGAAAAAAAAAAGAAAAATAGAAGAATACAAATAGTTTCATTACCTATAGGAGTTGTAACTATATACTTCTTTTTCAGGCTATGCACCCTACGCGTAACACGTCTCCGGGTGTGCGGCGCGTTAGGCGAAGCGGGTGGTGGCGCGGCGAGCGGGGCGGGCGCGGGCTCTGTGATCCTCGCCGCCCGCATGCACAGCAGCAAGCGGACATTGCGCTCCAACGACATCGCCGTGCCGCCTTTGGATGTAGAGTTGGATCTTTGCTTCTCCTTGCAGTACCCGCATTTTGTCAAGCGAGATGGCAACAGGTACGTCAAAAGTAGGCTTTAACTTCCTGCCCCGTGTACATCAAAATGTTATATAATAAGTGAAGTGAAACACTCAACATAGCCCCGCACTAGGGAAACCCTGTATCGCGGGTGCCATGGACCCACGTATAGACAACCACAAATTACACCCAAACTCACGAGAGAAATAAATGTAGGCCACGGCCATACAAATATTTCTCCCGGCCCGGGAATCGTACCTGGGACCTCTTCGCGGCAGTCCGGCATGGTTCGTACAGAGGCAGTTTAGTACGGTTAATTGTAATGAAAATATATCTTAAAAGAGTGTTTCTCATACAAAACTGATACCTGAGGCATTTTTTTTATAATACCAAGTGGCGGGGCGAACAAGTAATGCGCCTGATAGTAAGCTAAACACCTGTCCATAACAGTTGCAATGCCACTCAGCTTTTTAAATCGCAAAGATCTGAGACGCACTGCCACAGCGCTCGTCATACGGAGACATAAGTTGACAAGTCCCATTTGCCCTCAATTTCACCAGCACCCTCACCCTTCAAAACCGGAACACAGTGATGGTGACATTACTGCTCGGTGGCAGAAATAAATAAGATAAGATAAGATGGCAGCACTTCCCTGGACTATCACTTTCGCAAGGACCTCTACTGCTACCGTATGATATTAGCACATTTTAATGTACAGAATCTAAAGCGCTTTTCCCATTGTAGTTTGCTGAGTCTTGGGTTCCCCGCCCACCACATTCCTGTTAAAACACATCCGCTTCCTCCACTCATAGCAGTCTTTTCATGCTCGTGTATACTTGTGACCTGGCGTTTTCATTATACATAATTGTGGACGTCCTCAATCTGGTTAACCTTTCCCCATGTTTCCATTGATATTCACACAGTAGATGTGTATCGTTAGTCTAATAACATCCATCTTTTCCTCTCATCATGTTAGGTCGATGATTCTCAAAGTGATTTATATAGACCCCTGGGCGTCTATGACTGTGGACCCCATTTAGGCAGATCGTGAAAAAATTAAAAATAATTTTGGCTTAACATAATTTAATAATCTACATTACATAGATAGTACTTTTCTACGTACATAATTAGATATATTAAATTATCTATGAAGTACATTTCAAAAAAATCTAAATATTCAGTTGGATAAATATCAATATTTTAATTAAATTTTTTTATTGAATTGATATTCAATTATTTTTTGTGAAATTACTCCACTAGTTTGTTATAATTATTAATACAAAGATCGAACACTCAGAAAAAATCCTTCGATCCGGTCGGATTCGAACCGACATCTTCTTGCATACGGTGCCAGACGCTGTACCAACTAAGCATTTTTTTTGAGTGTCCGATCTTTGTATTAATAATTATCAATATTTTGTCAAATAAAACTTAACCTGTTTTTTGTTGTTTAAATAAAGTTTCTCACTATTCACTTATACTTATCAAAATGAGACGCACCATGTCAGCTGTCAAAAACACATTTGAAGTTGATGCATTTATAAAAAAACATCCATATTAAAAAGGCTTACGTAGGGGTCTACGCAAAGCTAAAAACAATGGCACGTGATCTGCGTAATAAAAGAGTTTGGGAACCTCTGTGCTAGGTGTAAATTAACTTAGTTACATCAGTGTAGTAGTTAGTTATACTTGTTTAAGCCAGGTGAAACATAAATTTATTACAATAAAACGAATTTTAACTACAGATAAAACGGATATCCGGTCTATCCGGCCGGATTCCGGATATTGGAACAATATCCGGCCGGTACCCGGCCAAATCACTACCCGTTTCATCTTTAATTTTAGCTACTAACATTATCCAATAGTTTTCTATTAACGTTTGATTACCAAGAAATCGTGGGTTCAATTAAAACAACACAATTTATTACGACTCAAGATTAAGACGTTAACCTGTTTTAATTCAATAAAACGTGTTTGTTCACGTGACTTCGGTTTTACGAACTGAAATCTGGAACGCCGTGGTTAGTTTCGTCGCTTTTAAGGCCGAGGTTAAAAGTTATGGGCGGTTTGGAAAAAGCTTGTTTTATTGCTGCACAATGGTTACGACCTAATATGATGATAATTTTAGCTACCTCGTCGGCGCTATCGATACAGAACACCAGAACAGGATACCAGAAACCCACGCAATTCGATGTAGCAGAGCTCCTTGTGAAAGAGTTGGTCCAGGGAAGTTACTTTTTATGATACCCAGGGACATGGCGAACAAGTCGTGCGCCTCGTGTTAAGCGACACGTCTGTCCATAGCTGTTGCAGTGCCACTCAGAACTTTAAATTATCCAGTCCTGTGGGAAATTGCCACTGCGCCTGTCACCCTGAGACATAAGTTGACAAGTCCCATGTGCCTGTAATTTCTGCCTCAGTGGCCGAACGGTTATCATGCCGGACTGCCACGCAGAAGTCACAGGTTCGATTCCCGGGCCGGGAGAAATATTTGTATGGCCTACATTTATTTCTTTAGTGCGGGGCTATGTTGATCGTGTGCGTTAAAAAAAAATTTTCACCCTTACCCCTGCTAACTGAAACTCAGTAATGCTCACACTGCTTGGTGGCAGAAGTAGGTAAGTTGGCAGTAGAGCAGTAGAGCTTGTCCAGGGAAATACTGCCCCACCTTACCTATTTCTGCCGCCAAACAGTAATTTCCGGTTTTGAAGGGCAGGGGTGCTGGTGAAATTACAGGCAAATGGGACTTGTTAACTTATGTCTCAGGGTGGACGTGCGCAGTGACAGTACCTCTCAGATCTTTGCGATTTAGAGCTCTGAGTGGCACCGCAACTGTTATGGACAGGCGTGTAGCTTGCTGTCAGGCGCATGACTTGTTCGCGCCGTCAGTTGATATTATAAAATATGTATATATTTATATATATCATATATTATTATCATATATTTCTTTTCTATACTGTCTCGGGTCTGGGTGTTTGTGGTACCGTTGTGGTTCGTTGTTCCCGATTTCCATAATACAAGTGCTTTAGCTACTTAGTTTGGGATCAGAGCAACGTATTTGATGTTGTCTAATATAACATTATTGCTGTATTACCTATATAAGTTAAAGTAAAATAAATAATCTTTATTTCATAGGTAAGAAATTACATTTGAAACAATCATGTTGATTAAATTTTGCTACTCATTCGTAAGAAAGAGCAAGCTCTTTGTTAACAAACATTTGTACTCATTTGTCATTCACAATAATTATTTGAAACCATTACCTCGTTCATAAAAGTGTAATATTGTTTTATTTTTTATATGTATCGTGTACACTATTTGATAAAACCACATCACGCTCTCTTGTGTAACTAAAAGATAATTTAATTGGCTTTGTTTTGTTATTAAATCATTTAAAATAATAAATAACGTAATAACCTAGCAATAACAAGTTATCCCTAATAAATGAATAAATAAACTATTATACTATTTCTATTTATTTGGATAATGAAAATTAATCGGAGTGCGCTGTACATAATATGTTTTTACAAAGAGCAACCCCTGTGTTATTTACTCGTTCTTGATAATGGTAATGGTGTTATTAACCGAGTTCAAAAAAAGGAGGAGATTCTCAATTTGACTGTATGTTTTTTTTGTACGTATGTTATGCGCTAACTCCGGTATTTGTGAACCGATTTTCATGATTCTTTTTTTGTTGGAAAGAGGGTACTTCCATAGTGGTCCCATTTCATTTTGAAGACAATCATCTACCTCTAAGGGTGGCTGATCACGCATGAACATTCATTTTTATAAATAGCGCCTAAATTTTTACTTCAGGAGCAATTATTTTAATGCTTAGTTTTGCTATTCTCCAAGTCAAGGCGTTTTTCCCTCTCAATATACTTTGAGTAGCGAGAACCGCTTTTATTATCTCCTGTGTCAAGTCCTGTATAGTGGTGAACTAGGGGATATTTCAATAAAACTTAGCAAATAAACGTAATTCCACGTACTTTAGAGGTCGGTTTTTTTAGTACTCTGTACTGAGATTATATTAACAGTTTGAAACAATAATATTATGAATTTGTCTAAGCGAAGTTGGCTCCCAAGATATGGTCATGTGTAAAACTTGAACTTAATTTATACTGGCCAAAAAGTGTGCAAATAAGCTGCGGTCATACTCCGCGATTACCCCGGCTTACCATATTTATTAACTGATTTTGATGATTATTTTTTGTTGGAATAAAGCAAATATTCTACATTTAAAAGTGTAGAACTATGGGATGACTTCGGTTTCGCGCACTTCCCGGTAACCGATTTCAATTAAACTTGGCATATAGATGTAGTTCCACGAACTTTTGATGTGGGTTTTCTTTTTATAATTCTGTTTTGCGTAGACCCCCTTTTTAATATTGATTTTTTAACAAATTCATTAATTTCAAATGTGATATTATTGCTCCCTAATGGCGGTTTACAACCCTTTCACAGTTAATTCTTGAAGCCGTTATCCGAGACCTCGATTGCATGAAGTTGATAACGACTTCATGCGTTAACTGTAAACATGCAGTCAATCTGTTAGCAGCCTTTTTTTTTTTTTGACGGGGGAAAATCTTTATGGATACCCCTGAGCCCAGGGAGACTCAGGGGTTATGTGGGGACTCCTACCCCACTAAAACCCCCCCGGGTTTCCCTCTCGCCGGTTGAGTCGGCGCCGTGGGATCAGTGAACATTCACCACGACAATCTGTTAGCAGCCTAAGGCAAAATAGTATTCACAATCCTAGGTACGCTAACAAAATACCTTAACACGTATTCGACTGTGTTAACGAGCAAAATCAATCTCGCCCCGTATAAATAAATCTCCGTAGGCTCCTGTAAGAGAATACGATTTTGCGTACTTTCCGTTAACCGATTGCAATAAAACTTGGCAAATCGATGTAATTCCAAAAAAAGCCGAAAAGCAAACTTTCGACTCAAGTCACATATGTCGCAGGCTAAGAATGAGAAATGAGGTAGATTTGTCAACTCTCTCCCTTGTCTCATATTTGTGAATTGTTATAATATATAAAATTACTAACATAGCTCATAAGACCTTTGTTACAAACACGTATGGATGGAAAATTCTGAAATAAATATATAATACATATATGATTAAAGAGACTCATGCCCAGCAGTGGGACGTACAATAGGTTGATGATGATGAAACAGTTTATATTCAGTGGCATTACACATATACAGGGTGTAAATTTGAGACGGGGCAGCAAGGCCAGCCACCTTAATCGTTGTAGTTACAGGAAAACGGTTCTAGAAGACTATCCATGAATTTTGAAGATATTTTGATTGGCATTCACAGATTTTCAAAATGGTACTTTTTAAAACTTTTTTTATGCCATTCGATCCAGTCTCTGGTAAGGATCAATAGTCTCTATGGGACCAACTGAGGTACGAGTACTCGAAATGTTAGAAATCGCAAAAAACTTCTTACCATGCATTTTGTAGGGGCTTATTTAGTAATCAGTTTTAATCTAGGTAGTTAGGAAAACTAACAAATTAGTCTACAAACAAGAATTAAATATAAACAAATTATAATCATAACATTATTTTTTAAATTTCGAACAGCTTTGTTTTGTTAATAGAGAATTGTCACTTTTTATACGATTTTTAATCAAAATGTTCTCAAATGGGGAAACAAATGAATTGGAGTAAAATTGCAGCCGCTACTTCCTCTTTGCGGAAGAGAGCGAATCGATCATACATTTTTTACGTTATTTTGCTTTTCGTTATTGTTTTTATTTTGAAATACATAATACGTATACAATTTGTTAATTTCCTTAACTACCTAGAATAACTGATGACTAGATATGTCCTTACAAAATAATATAAAATAATAAATGCATGGTAAAAAGTTTTTGCGATTTCTAACAATTCGAGTACTCTTACCTCAGTTGGTCCCATAGAGACTATTGAATCTTACCAGAGACCGGATTGAATGGCATAAAAAAAGTTTTGTGCAAATTGCCTTCTATCTTGCTGACTATACCATTTTTTGAAAATCTGTGAATGCCAATCAAAATATCTTCAAAATTCATGGATAGTCTTCTCGAACCGTTTTCCTGTAACTACAACGATTAAGGTAGCTGGCCTTGCTGCCCCGTCTCAAATTTACAACCTGTATATTTGACAACGTTATAGGTGAAGAAAAAATTGTTTGCGTCATTATATAGCATCTGGTTTATTAAATAAAAATACGTAGTTTTCAAATATTTTTATTATACATGTTATTAAAAACAATGGAATTTCTTGCAACACTGCGGAGTATGAAATAGTGTAAAATGGTATTAAAAAGTGAAGTCTTTAGAAAATTGAGATAATACCGGTTGCCAGTTCGCAGTCGATATATCAGAAAAACAATTTAGTCTTAGGTTCGTATTCCAGAACTCTACTCAATGCTCAAGTTAGGATTTGAGCAGACTTGAGTATGATTTCAAGCACTGGAAATACGACCCTAATGGCAAGGACTTGAGTATGATTTCTAGTGCTTTGAATCATACGCAAATCCTGACTTGAGCATTGAGTAGAGTTCTAGAATACGACCCTTACCATTAAGTACTCTAGATTCCAATATTAGTAAATTGTAGTAGATTCAACACATTATAGTTAAAGGGTTATAAAATGCTTTATTTTACTTTTTATTTTCTTACAGCGTGACTTAGGGTTGGTAACTACTCGTAAGTTATCAGCATGCTTCAGCACAATGCTGATACTAAAATTTCTCGTCTTGTTGCTATAGCGTGCTTTCGATGGCCCCGTCACAAAAAATAAGTTAGTTATGGATTTTGGTGCTGATGCTTACCGACAAGTAATTCCAACTCTACAGAATTGACATCAATTAACACGTGGAGCTACAGGTACACGTTTATATATTTGTGACATATTATAATTATTGTTTTATTGTCTAAAGGTTGCAAATAATGCTGCAGCGCCGTAAGAAGTACAAGAACCGCACCATCCTCGGGTATAAGACATTGGCTGAGGGCGTCATCAGAATGGATCAGGTAAATGTCAATTTTTCTTCTTTGCATCAAACGATGCTGGAGCAGTTGTTGGCAGTGTACAGAGCAGTGGCGAGGCGTGGAAATTACCGTTAGTACAGCCGGAGCAATACACAAAACATTTACTACTATTTCCTTAAGAAAAAGCGGCGCCTTATTAGCACACAAGATACTAATACGTCATTTTACTGGTTAACTTATTCTACATATAAAATTTAGCACGAAATTAGTATTTGATAATACGTGGAAAATTTTAGACAAGCCGGTGAAAATCGAGTTTTAAGGACGCCTCGCCACTGCTACAGGGATATGTTTCGACCTTTAGATCGTGTTTACATTCTAGGTGACAGGATAAACAACTTTTTTCATTACCTGTACGTACTATTCCTATACTGCCTGCTTGTCGTAAATAGACAAATTTTCTAGAACAATGTAAGTTCAATTAACCTCACCGCAGCGGATACCTTCACAGATACCACAACTGACGCAGATGTCGCTTTTCGATCAAATGTATTTATTAAGATTTTTTGACAAATCTTCCACTAGTTTTGTTATGATTATGAATACAAAGATCGAACACACAGAAATTTCGACCTGTTGGGTCTTGAACCCCCGTCCATGCTGCGCCGTAGCGTTACTCTAACCGTCTGAGTCACGGGTGCAGTTACCGAGTCGTCGAAATTCTTCTATATGTTTTTTGTTATAGATCTTTGTACTGACTTTTCGGCATTAGTCGCCTCTAGGGAGAGATTTTTGAATAACCTTCTCACCGCAGCCAGATGGTTAGAGCAATGCTACGGTGCAGCATGGTCGTGGGTTCAAGTGTTTTTAAAACATGAGGCATACCAATATGTTTCGGTGTATTATACATTTACCCACATACGCTTCAACGGACCAAATTAGGTGTGACATGTTTTATTAATAATATCACATGGCCGTACACAAATATTTATATTCATTTATTTTGCACTTCCCCTGTATAGTATAGGTTAATAAGTTTAAGCCAGACTTTTGAAAAACACTGCACTACTTGGGAATTTTCTAGTGTTCCGCAAAGTGTGCCAGTGTGTTTTAAAAGTTTGTCACACGCATACGATTGATCTTTTTTTATTAATGTTTGGTAATGAAAGTCTTTTAAATAATTTATTTAATGTAAATTGCATTCGTTGTCTCATTCTCGTGGTCTGTGTTAAGTAGGGCGTTTATTAAAATACCGCTTTTGACTGTTCAACAGCTTTCAACAGCTTCAAAACCGGAACACTGTAATATCTTTTTTTTTTATAATATCTAGTGACGGGACGTCTCGTGGTAAGCTACACGCCTATCTATAACGGTTTCAGTGCTACTTAGAGTTTTAAATTGCAAAGATCTTAGGGGCACTGCCACTGCGCACGTCACCCTGAGACATAAGTTAACCAGTCCCATGTGCCTGTAATTTCACCACCACCTTCCCTTCCAAACCGCAACGCAGTATTATTCTGTTCACATTACTGCTTGGCGGCAACAAAAGGTAAGGTGGCAGTACTTTCCTGACCGAACTCTTTCACTACGAGCTCTACGGATTCTGTTAGGCGTTTAGTCAAAATTTTCATGAATGAACTCAAATTATAAAATAATATAAATAGTCTTGTTTATTTATAAAGGACACGTAAGAAACAAAACATTTAATTTCACATAGAGAGGACCTGATTTTGTTACTACCGTTCTTCAGTCTCTACAGATTATACTAAGCTACACTCTACAGTACTGTCATGTACATGTAATCAGAATAATAAAATACTCATGGTTTAGTAGATTTTTTAATACAGGTTGTCTCAAAAATGTTAAAGTTCTTGAGATCGAAATCATCATCTTACGAAATCGCCAAAAAATGAAACTCGCCAAATTTTCGAGACCAAGATTCCCGAAATGACAACTCTACTGTGTATAGTATACGAAGAGCATGTACTTCACCGATCTGATTCACTGTTTTACTCTATTCTTCTCCAAAGCCGATAAGTCGGATCTGCCCAAATAATATATAACATACTATAACTCACACAACTAAAAATAAATAGAAGCCGTGGTAGCCTAGAAGCAGTGGTGGCTTACTGGTTCGACCTACCTCCTCTCAAGCAAAGGCCGTAGGTTCGAATTCGAACACGCACTTTAGAGTTTTCGGAATTTATAAGCTAAATTTAATTTGAATTTACCATGAGCTTTTCGGTGATGAAACCTGCGCGTCGAAGAAGGTTCACAACCCTCGGAAAACATGTGAAGTCCCCAATCGGCATGGGCTAGCGTGCGGACTATGACCTAAAACCTCGCGTGAGAGGAGACCCGTGCCCAGTCGTGCGACGTATAAATAGTATGACTGTATACTATAACAACCTCATATTTCATTTACCTCTATTAATATATAAATAGCACATTTGACACCAATCAAGTACCACTAGGCACTCAAACAAAGCGAGCATTAAGAGGAAACGGAATTGGGTTCAAACGGCAAGCGTTTGAATTAAATGATTCACTAATTGCGAGTACTGTGTATGTAAAATTCCACTTCCGGCAACCGCTCTTTACTAATTAACGATCGTACTGATTGATGTTTGTCCTGTATTCCACGTGTTTTTCACTTTTTCTGCTGACAAATTGTAATACTAGGTAAATTGCATGGTAGTAAAAAAATTCACCCTATATTTTTAACCCGTTTTTATTTATTTATAAAAAGTATGTGACGGGGCGAACAAGTCGTGCGCCTGATGGTAAGCGACACTTACCATTACAGCTGCAGTACCACTCAGCAGCTTTAAGTCATAAAAATCTGAGGGGCACTGCCACTGCGCCCGACACTCTGAAACATAAGTTGACAAGTCCCATGTATCTGTAATTTCACCAACTCCCATACCCTTCGAAACCGGAACACAGTAATTCTCATACTACTGCTTGGCGGCAGAAATAAATAAGGTGGCAGTACTTCCCTGGACGAACTCTTTCACAAGGAGCTCTACTGCCAGTAAAAAGGTTCTTAATTCTATTGAATTTTTTTGTCTATATATTACATGACTACTCCGACATTTTGTTAACCGATTTTGACGATTCTTTTTTTTATTGGAAAGGCTTTTGAGTAGCAGTAGTGCACCAATCAAATTCGCAGAAAATATTCCACCTGTAAAGGTAGCAAATTAGAGGGTGTATCCTGTTTATCAAATTTCACCCACTTTCCTCTAACCGATTTTCACTAAAACGTGACGTTAGAATGTAATGTATGTGTGTTTATTTGAAGTAGAAGTGATTTGTGCGTATTTGAAGCATACAGGTTCGTTAAAAAAAATTTGGCCCTATTTACTAGCAAACGTGAAGTATGTACTTTTTTAACTAGACATCATAACCGCTGGGCTGGCCCCTCCTATAACACTACTTGCTTTCCTAGGAACTGCTGTAATATGTCCATAAAGATATATAATGTTTTGTCTGCAGCGATCGCAGTCTTACCCTTAAGCATATTTAAAAAGAAATTGTTTGACTTGTTATATGTGATCTGTGTATATATGACATCAAAGATTAATTAAAATGAAAAGAAATTGACACAACCTCGTTTGTAATAATAACTGTTTCAATCAATGATATTATACTTGTAAACAAGCTTCAACATATTTATAAGAATTTTTTAATAATTTATCTAATGTAATTAAATCACTACAAAGACTTACTTTTAAATCACAATTTACCAAATGGCTTATGACAATTGCTTTTAAAGTTAGAAAGAATATTTAGTAGTTACAAATACCAATTGATATTAATTCGAAATACAAATTGCTTTGTAATTGTAGAGACAAATGTGAAATACCATTAACGTTTGAACATCTGAGTACAGGTTGAATACAATGTACTTAATTTTACTCAAGATCTGTATAAATACAGTATTCTGGCAAATTAACGTATTCTGTTCTATTCTGTTCTTCTAATTCTAGTGAAAACAAATGTTTTGGTGACCTACAGGAACTCCCCAACATGGAATAGTTGTTATGAAGAGATTTTCATCTGCGTTGCAATTACGGAATAAAAAACATATCACAAACAATAATGATGAACACTATAAAATCTTGATAACGATTGGTCGTAGTTTCTCATTTAAAAAGATGTTACAAATTCTGGACTGTTAATATAATTTAAACTTTACCCAATCGTTATATCGTTCAAAATTCAATACCTTTGCAAACGTGCCGCCATCTTGCGGCCAGTAGTCGGACTACGACGAACGACTGACATCTGAACGAATAGAAAGTAGTATCTTCTCGTCAACAGATGTCTTCTTGAACGCACATATTGCATAATGAACTTTATTGCGATCAATTAAGTTTAAAATTAACAAAACATTCATGGAGCATTTTTTCGCTAAGCTTTTGTTCGGTACTAGCGTGGAAAATTCGAGATGTTTACTTAGTTTTCCGAAAAGTAAAACTCGACCATATTTCTCTGCGATAATGTTTTTATTGTTCTGTGGTTGCCATTGTCGTTGACAAGGCCGCGGCAACGAACACAGCCAAGAAGGATAAGCAATGTTGTGAAGACGGACTTTTTTTTCAATAAAAAGATATAATTTTTTTTATATAATTTAATTATATATTGTAAATTTTATTTTTATGTGACAAGTACACGTCTGTTCTTGCAGGTCCTTCAACGTTCCATGGACATGGAACTAGAACTGATCGGCGTGGGGGGCAAGGTGGGCGCGGCGGCAGGCCAGCCCGTGGCGAGGCTCAGCATCACCGGACTTGCATCCACGCCGGTTGATCATGACACAAAGAATAACAACACTCTGCTTATTACAGGTGAGAATAGTGGCATAACAAGAACGACAGCGATGCCACATACACGCTCAAAGACAATAGAGTCTGCCAACTCAATCTTTAATGAATCCACTTTCAATATAGATCAAGACTTTTATTACACTCTAGTCAACATTTCGAGAAAAATCGAGAGCTCTTAAGTCTGTTTTTGATTGAAATATCTGAATGTAATAAAATGCGTCGTTGTGTAATTTTAATGCCAATCGTAAACTTCTGATAACATTTGTAAAACATTGACGCTTGTCCTAGCTGTTCTATACAATTATATGACATCAACCCTTCATGACGTATGAAATAAATTATATGAAATCAGGCGCTTGTCGCCTTTTCCTTCGAAACAAGAAATGATACTAATGTATGAAGAGGCTGAATGGTAGAACCTTGGCCTACCCAAATAAATGGGTGAAAACACTTATAAAAAAAGAATGTGACCTGTTATACAGAACATCGAGTATATAAACAGAAATAGAGATGAAATAAGGGTCAACATTCCTGGTAACTCATCAGTGATACATCACTTATAAATATCAACTCTCGTTTGCACTGAAATATGGCTAGATAGCGCCAAGAACTGACCTGTGTGTACGGCTCCGTATATTTCAAAAATATTCTGTATTTATTGTAGTAAAGATTAATATCTGTTACAATGGCGTGCTGTTCCATTCGGTGGTGTGGGGAAAAACAGCAACATATCTAATTACAAAACGAACTGAATCAAATTTCATCGGTAATTAAATATTAAATATGTAATTTTGCAGTTTTCGTCCATTACAGCAAAGCTCAAGTTAACTGGTTGATTTAAAGTGAAACAATTGACGACACCCGTCAATTCTTTCGAACTCGGGCTAGCCAATCGGAGCGCAGTTGTCACAGTAATGATATGGCGGAATAGTTTTCAAACAAATTAAATGACATTTCGTCTCTATTTCTGGTTATCATTTACTAGTTACAAACAGACACGTGATAAAAAATAGTGTTGGCCAGAATGGAGTAACGCTTTTTTATAACACCATGTGACGGGACGAACAAGTCGTGCGCCTGGTGTTAAGCGACACGCCTGCCCATAACAATTCCAGTGCCACTCAGTGCTTTAAATCACAAAGATTTGAGGGGCATTGCTACTGTGCCCGTCACCCTGAGACGTAAGTTGACAAGTCCTATGTGCTTGTAATTTCACCAGTCCCTTTAAAAACCGAAACGCAGGTAAGGTGGCAGTACTTCCCTGTAACAAAGAGCTCTACTGCTTTTGTTTCAAGGCTAACTTTAGGTTATTGATCAATTCACATTTACAAAATAGATTACAAAAAAAAACATTCTTGGCACCAGCCACATAAATAAGCCATTAGCCTGGTGCCAAAAATGTAGAATTTTATTTTCCAAAAAAAATACTTTTGGGAGTTAGTCACTTTATTAGTCATAGTGCCAGAACGAAGTTTTTTGAGAATTTCTGTATTCTTTACATTTACAGAACGTGGTTACTCGGATGAGGAGGAGGAAGGTGAATTTAGCTCGGTGGAGGAGGCTGACGAGATGACGTACGGCGCCCCCGCACGCCGCCGCACACACCGGCAGCTTGCCTTCAACAAGGCAGACCTGTCTTACACCAAGGTACGACCCGCTAAGATACTACAGACATAACTGGCATAAGTCTAATATAAAGGCACTTTACGATGGCAATTAAGGGGAAAATAATTGTTGTTCTAAATCATTGTGTGTCATGAACACATTCCAAAATGCATTTAAATCAAAAGCGTCCATAAAGTACCTTTATCTCCGAATTTATACAAATACGAGTACCTAGTATATTATACAATATCTAAAGTTTTATTTTTCTAGTACATATTTATAACAATAGGGTTATGCGTAATTGCACGATTACAAAAATAAGGTATATGATTTTAATAGTTTTATTTCAAGACTTGCAGGATATTTTTTTTTTCATTATATATAATAGAAAATACCCTTTTTGTATATTTAGGGTCTGTAAAGGGGAAAGAGCATGTTTGAAATCAATTTCAGGTTCCATAAGTTACTTTCAATATTATTAACAAAATATAATGATAACATTTATTTGCTTCAGCTACAGCTGGGCTGTAAAATAGCTACTATAAGCTATTATGAGCTGTTTTCTTA